GATCTCCGCTCTTCTGCTTCTCCGAGAGAGGGAAAGCTACCCCCTCCATCTTGCAGCCATGTGGTCTGCTGCTTGCCTTCTCCTTCGGCTTGTCTCTCCTCTTTTCCAAGTGAATCAGGATTCAGCTGATTCCCGTGTTCCATTCTCTACGTTTTGGGAAACAAAGTTGTCTGCTAGGTTTGTTAGGAACCTGTCGGATCTTCCACTTGGTGCAGAGTTTGTCTCCCAGTTGATGTCAGAGTAGTTAATATGCCTCATTATCATTGTGATGTGCTCCCTACATACCTTAGTTAGCTGATTAGCAAAGGGTTCATCTATTTCCTCTGTTTGGTTGAGTGACTTATAGTATTCATCTATGGCAATGTCATTTTTTCCTCTTAAAATTGACCCAAATGCATTCATCATTATTGTGCTCTATTTCTGTAGAGGTGTAGTTATTTCTTATATAGTGCAACTCCTCTTTATTTGGTCTATTTCTTTTAAATAATTTAAATCCCTGTAGCTCAATGATGGTGAATATTTTTGGCACCGTGCTGAAAAGATTGTGTGAAAATGTCACACGCACATGCTCGTTGGGGCCATGCTCTGGAAAAGCCAAACTTCTGAGTTCTAGCGTGCATCCACGCCCGACAATCAGCTGGCCAGTGCACATGTGCAGGCCAGTTTTCAGCACTGCCACATGTGTGAAGGGACCACGCTGCAGAAAAATCAAACTTCCAGGTTCTGGTATGCATGTGCACTTGACAATCAGCTGGCCAGCGCACATGCGCACGAAGACAGCTGATTGACGCATGTGCATATGTACCAGAAACATAGAAGACAAACAGCCAAGGCTGCATGTGCTGGACGACATGGCTTCACGTGCCATTCTGGTTACGTGCGCCATAGGTTCACCATCACAGCTCTAGATGTATATTCCATTTGTGGGTTTCATCCCACCCAAGTTTCCATAATGGCAACAATACCATATCTGCCCTCATTTACTTGAATTTCTAATTCACCCTGTTTATTCCTCATACTCTGTGCACTGCTGTATAGACATTTGAGTCCATTTCGATTCACCCTGTGTTTACTATCTACATAACCTGTGTTGTGCCTGACTGCCCCTACTTCCTTGCCACCTGTTTGATTAGTGCACATGGTATGGCACTCACTGTTAAATGCTTGGTTTTGCTTAACAGTAAGGTTGATCTTACCCATAGAAACCTCTATGTTACATGCACTGGTAACCCTGTTAATTTTAGATTTCTGGGGACAGAAATGTTCTGTATCAATTAATTTTCTGTCCCCGCTGTTCAGTTTAAATGTTTATCCAGAAAATCTGTGAATTTAATGCCAAGTAACTCAGTCTCTTTCTTTGATGGATGCAAACCATCTCTTTTGTACAGTTTTTCATTGGATCAGCTGCAGACATCATGACTAATAAAACCAAAGCCTTCTGTTTTGCACCACTCCTTAAGCCACACATTAAACTCCTCTAAATTCTGGCTTTTCCCTTTTTTCCCTTATATACAGGTAAAACATCTGAAAAGATAAGTATACAACCTACACTACTAAGTTCATACCCCAAACTCTGGAAATCATTCTGCACAGAAAGTACATTTTTTTGGAACAGATCATTTGTGCCAAGATGTATAATAGCATTAACATCACAGTCCTTACTGGAATTCTTGACTATCTTAAGAATACACCTCTCTGCTGGCAGTAGCCTATTTCACCTATTTCAAAACCTCCTTTTCCTTCCCTAAATTTATATTCCTTACAATTGAATCACCAATCGGGAACGGGCTTCTCTTTTTGGATACCTTGCTCTTTTTGTGTGATGTCTAATACCCGATTCACACTTTCCCCTTTCCAAAGTAAATTCATCTCGGACCACGATCCCCTGCTTATTTGAGTTATCATTATCACAACTACCTTGACCTGTCACTTTAGTGTTCCTATTAAGATCTGCAAGGGCACTGTATCTGTTATACTGGGACACAACAAAAGCTTTGTGTTTATGGTTTACAGCTCTCACCCTGCCAGATCCCATGGTTGTCCGTACCGTCCTTTTCCTGCAGGATCTTTGTGGTGGAAGGGGCGGATAGCGCGGCAGCTCAGTAGAGTTGAATGGCTGAATTGGGCACCTAATTTCTGTTTGGAGAGCACAGATTAGAGATTCTACATCGGTAATCTGTCCATGTAGACTAGTAATTTATTTACAAAGAGGACAGTATCCAAATTTGAAAAGAGTACATTGAAAGATAGCTGCAAAACAAGTATTACACTGAACTGAGCCGGTCATTTTGAAACAAAATAAAATCACAATCTCAAGCATACTAACCCTGAATGCATTATTGCTATTTTTGGTTTATAGTTATATGATTCGCGCCATTAGGCACACAGGCCGCTACCTCTATCCTCTGTACTCCCTCTCAGTCTCCCCCACTCACAGCAAGCAGCTCCTCCCATCAGCCTCTAGGAAATTAAAATGCAATGGAGGCAGGTTCACTCTACCTTTGTAAAAATGAAAGGGAAAAAAGCATTCACTTTGAACTTTTTTCAACACAATAAAATATAAAATAGAATAGAGCCGTGGTGCCACAGTGGTTATTGTCATTGTACATGTTGTAATTGTTACAATAAAATTAAATGCCATGTTCAGTGTACATTATAACTATAAAAACAAAAACACAAACATACATCCTTTACATTCTGTATAATTGAAATTGAAAACCCGATTTTGCACTATATCATAGAATTCAATATGGTTACTGCCCTGGGATAGAAGCTGTTTTTCAACCTTTGTCCTTGTTTTTATTATCCTGCACCGCCTCCCTGATGGTAATAGTTCAAAAAAAAATGCCCAGGATGATATGGATCTTTAAGAATCTTTTGAACTTTCTTAAGGCAGCGAGAACTATAAAGCTCTTCCAAAGAGGGGAGAGGGCAATCAATGATCCTCTGGGCAATGACGCTGACCCTCTGGAATGCTGTCCTATCTGCCACTGTGCAATTGGCAAACCATACGCAGATGCAGTAAGTTAAAATACTCTTTATGATGCAGTGGTAGAAGTCATGCACATAAAAGAGTATAGAGTAAGGGACTAAACACGCAACCCTGTGCTGTATTCTTAACCCTGTTAAAAATAATGGCTGAGGAGATATGACTACCTAATCTGACCCTCTGAGAGCAGTCAAACAGAAAATGCATAATCCAAAGGCAGATTGAATAATAAAGCCCAAGATACGTAAATTTAGATACTAGTCTATGTGGAATTATTGTATTAAATGCAGAGCTAAAATCTACAAAAAGCATCCTCACTAGCTTTTGGGGAATAAAAAACAAGTGGGGGGGGGGATCTGCTTCAGCCTCCCAGCAATTTGCCTCCTTGCAACAAACATCAAACAGTACAGACAATATACACTGTAGTGTTACATTTTAGAGTATACTTGTACAGATGCTGTTAAAATTGATGTGCTTTCTGGAAGTATAGTTATTCTCTGCTATTTAAAAGAAGATACAATAGCACTGGGCCTCTTCAGATCAAGCATTTATTTTAAAAAGCTTCATTTTGTTAAGCTATCTAGAACAATAATAAAGCAATCTTTAAAAAATAAGTTTAATAAGTTGAACATTCTATAGGCATTTATAATTATTGACACCTTGCAGCAGCCTGATTAGCACAAGAAAAAAAAACCTGCTTCTTCCTCCCAACAATTTGCCTTTAAGCGAGTCTCCCAATCATCAGTTGTTTCATGCTGCAGGATTGCTATAGCCTATTGCAGCCTCTGCAAGCCCCATTTTTCCCGTTTGCTGCAAGGAGGTAAATTGCTGGGAGGCAGAGTCCAAAGGGTGGGGGACAGTGGGTGGGTGGGCTACATTCAGTGTATAAGACGCCCCCAAATTTTCACGATGTGTCTTATACTCCGAAAAATATGGTAGCTAATCATAAAAACCCAAAGTCAAGTCATTTTTCTGCCTTGAACACAAAATCCAGAGCAATTTTCAATTAGAAACAAAATTGGATATATTCTCTGCTAGCATTATCACATTCATCCATTTTTTTTTCTGTTGTGGGGATTGACATATCTTTCTGGGCATGCAGATTTCTCACTACAATCAATATATACAATAACAAAATTCCAGATTTTTCAACTCCTTATCTGGTAATCTTAAAAGGTAAGGCTTCAAGTTTCAATTTTATGCTAGTTTTAAAAATCTGCATTATAACATGGATCTGGGTCTAGTATTTTTTGCTTTATCACAAGCCCACCAATTATTAAAAAATACCTTTAGAATTATATTTCCAACATACATTTCAAAAACATTAAACATCTTTGACAATTTATCAAGTGTTAAGTGCCAATGATGTATTGTTTTATAAAACATTACTTTCAAATTGTAATTCATTGTAAATGTTTAACTGTTCACCCACTTTTTCCATTGCTCAAGCATTATATCCAAAATTCTTTACCCTTTGAATCATGCACTTTTACATATTCATTTTCCAAATTCAGATTCAACATTTAATAGCTCTTAGCACCAACATTTTCATCATTAGCACATAATACAATTTGAGCACATAATACAATTTCAAATTCATATTTTGCAAATTCAAACCCATACATTTTGGCCTAATTTAAATATTTTCTTAAACAGTAAGTATAGAAGCCAATACAAAAGGCATCTTTCTGATTCCAATTCTTTTGATTTGAATCGAAGACTTGGCTAAAAGTCCACTGGTCTGGTCTCACCATCATTTCTTTTCTAAATATCACCTACAGCAGGGGTCACCAACCTTTCGGACCTCTGGCACCACTAAATTCATAATTTTAAATCCCACGGACCACTAATGATTTTTAAAAAAAGATATACTGCTCAAAAAAATAAAGGGAACACAAAAAAGACATCCTAGATTTGAATGAATGAAATATTCATATGAAATACTTTGTTCATTACATAGTTGAATGTGCTGACAACAAAATCACACAAAAATTATCAATGGAAATCAAATTTAGCAAACCATGGAGGTCTGGATTTGGAGTTACACTCAAAATTAAAGTGGAAAAAAACACTACAGGCTCATTCAACTTTGATGTAATGTCCTTAAAACAAGTCAAAATGAGGCTCAGTAGTGTGTGTGGCCTTCATGTGCCTGTATAACCTCCCTACAACGCCTGGGCATGCTCCTGATGAGGTGGCGGATGGTCACCTCAGGGATCTTCTCCCACACCTGGACTAAAGCACCCCCCAACTCCTGGACTGGTGCAACGTGGCGTTGGTGGATGGAGTGAGACATGGATGTCCTAGATGTGCTCAATTTGATTCAGGTCTGGGGAACGGGCGGGCCAGTCCTTAGCATCAATGCCTTCATCTTGCAGGAACTGCTGACACTCCAGCCACATGAATTCTAGCATTGTCTTGCAATAGGAGGAACCCAGGGCCAACCGCACCATCATATGGTCTCACAAGGGGTATGAGGATCTCATCTCAGTACCTAGTGGCAGTCAGGCTACCTCTGGCGAGCACATCTAGGGCTGTGCGGCCCCCTAAAGAAATGCCACCCCATACCATTACTGACCCACTGCCAAACCAGTCATGCTGGAGGATGTTGCAGGCAGCAGAACATTCTCCACGTCGTCTCCAG